TACTACGACCTACTACGACCTACTACTACGACTACTACTACTGCTGCTACTACTACTACTACTACTCCTACTACTACTACTACTACTACTACCAGTGACTAGTCAAGACCTCGCAGTGCTGTCACAGACGTGCCAAGTGAGTGGCAGAAAACTACTACCCACTACTACTACCTACTACTATTACTACTACTACTACTACTTCTTCTTCTTCTACTGTTACTAGTGTTACTACTCTTACTACTGTTACTACTACTACAACTACTACTACTACTTCTTCTTCTACTGTTACTACTACTATTACTACTACTACTACTACTACTACTACTACTATAGTACTACAACTACAACTACAACTACAACTGCAACCACAACCACAACCATAACAACAACAACAACAACAACAGCAACAGCAACAACAACAACAACTACTACTACTACGACGACGACGACGACGACCGTTATGACTATTGTTAGTATCACTATTATCATTACTGTCTTCATTATTGTAGCTTTACTAGCTTCCAGTTGTTGGAGAAATCTTTTGGAACCTTGCGACTGGAGCTTTAGGCTCGGTCCTAACCTGGTCTGAAGAAACCCCCCTGTGCTTTGCTAACTCCTTTTGGGGCTTCGGGTTTTAGGCTTTTGGGTTTTAGGGTTTTAGGGTTTTAGGGTTTAGGGTTTTAGGGTTTTAGGGCTTAGGGCTTTGGGTTTTAGGGTTTTAGGTTTTTGGGTTTATGGTCTACGGTTTAAAGGGTTTAGGTTTTAAGGGCAGCATGCTCTCGTTCAAAGCCATGGCTTGTTTGGCCTTCGGCGCCAGCCCTGCGCTTGCGATCCGAGCTGTCGCACAGCCTTCCATATCCCTTGAGGAGGACAGTGAAACCCTAGACTGTTTAGGGTTTAGGGTTTAGGGTTTTAGGGTTTGGGGTTCGGCCCTAAACCCCAAAGCCTGAAACCCCAAACCCTAAACTGTAGACTTCTTGCGAGACGGAAAAAGGCCCTCGAACAAAAACCGCAGAGCAGGTCACCTTTAGGGTTTAGGGTTCAGGGTTTTGGGTTTAGATTACGATAATTCTTCTCCCGACCTTCAAGGTTGACCTTCAGTTACCCTGGGATTCACGGGACAAGCAAGTATTCAGGGTTTTTTAGGGTTTAGGGTTTTGTTTTTTTTTTTTGGGGGTTTAGGGGTTCAGACTTTCTTTTGCAAAATGCTACAAGCTCCAAGCCAGCCCACCAACTTTAAGGGTTTAGGGTTGAGGCTTTACTTAAGCAGCAAGCAGGACTGCTGGGATTCTTTGTCTCCACCAGACAACTTGGGCACGCTCTCTGCCATCATGACGAAGAACTTGGGGCAGCAGTGTCGAAGTGAGGTGCAAGGACTCCTGGGGGACCTTTACGAGGAATGCACGAAGATCGAAGGGTCTTCCGAAAAAGACTGCCTCAAGGAGCTGTTTTGGTGGTTCTTTGGGTATACTGGGGCCGGGTATCGGGCCGGCTGGTACCAGAAACTAGCAGCCACACCCCGCGAAGCGATGCTATGGGCCGGCTTCTACGACGGCAGTCCCCTCGGTTTGACCCAGAAGGCCTTGCAGAGCTTTTCTAACATGGTGGACACGAGCATCGTCCACCCCAGCAGCATCCTGGGCAAAATAGTTCAGAGGAACAGCGACCTCCTTGGCTGCAGAGGCGATATAGGGGCTTGGATGCCCTGCTGTTGCGTGAAAGGCACGGTGAGCGCGATAGATAAAGGTCCGGTTGCGGGCTTTTGGAGCGGCGCAAGCCGTTTCTTCGTGCATGGCATGGCTTCAAACAATCAGTCGACGGTGGTGGCCGTCCTGAACAAAGTCCTGGATAAAGACAAAAAGTGGTCGCTCCAGAAGTCCGTTTTTTGGAAGTACGAGCTGCCGCAACTAGCGTTTGAAATAGCAGAGCCCTTAGACTTTCGCCCACAACTTCTACTGGTCGACATGCGGGGCACCTGCGAATACATGACCATGTTGGTGATGAGGAGACTGGCTCGTTACGACCACAGGGCAGCCAAGGTTTGGTTAACCAGCAAACCGATAATTTGCCTCGATTGCCTCCCGGGACTATGTGACCTAGACGAGACGCTGGCAACCAGAGTCCGATCGTGTTTGGGCAAAGACCTGCCCAGTTGTCCTAGGTTCGAGTTCTGCGAAGTCTAACCCACCGGCGGCTTCATTGCAAGTCCCCCCCCTTCGGCGCCGAATCCCAGCAAGCAAGACGGTACCTCTCCGGAACGTTGAAGTAGTATAGTCTTAAAGCCGCGTGGAAAAGACTCTGCAAGCTAATATAGGGGGTTTAATAATTGGAATAGGGTTTGGGGGTATAGTATACTATAATGGAAATAAGGACCCCCCAAAACCCTATTCTAATCATTACGGCCTTTAAATTAGGCATCATAAAATTTGAGGTTCTCGACACTCCGCTGCTCCGAAAGACCTCGTTGCGGGAAAGGTCCACTTCAGTCCAAGCTTTTGCGTCCTCCAGTTTTTATGGCAAAGTTAATGGTTTTGAGTAGATGGTTTAGGGTTTAGTTTTTTGGGTTTGGGTTTTAGGGTTTAGGCTTTAGGGTTTTGGGTTTTGGGTTTTGGGTTTAGGCTTTAGGGTTTTCTGACAGGTTTGGGGGTTTGGTTTCGTTGCCTCCTACCCCCACTGCTGGAGACTTCATCAG